TAACTTACATGTGTATAGACATCAGGTATTGTAAGATAGAGATATTGTAAACTAACTTACATGTGTATAGATATCAGATATTGTAAGATAGAGATATTGTAAACTAACTTACATGTGTATAGATATCAGATATTGTAAGATAGAGATATTGTAAACTAACTTACATGTGTATAGATATCAGATATTGTAAGATAAAGATATTGTAAACTAACTTACATGTGTATAGACATCAGGTATTGTAAGATAGAGATATTGTAAACTAACTTACATGTGTATAGATATCAGGTATTGTAAGATAAAGATATTGTAAACTGACTTACATGTGTATAGACATCAGGTATTGTAAGATAAAGATATTGTAAACTAACTTACATGTGTATAGATATCAGGTATTGTAAGATAGAGATATTGTAAACTAACTTACATGTGTATAGACATCAGATATTGTAAGATAGAGATATTGTAAACTAACTTACATGTGTATAGATATCAGGTATTGTAAGATAGAGATATTGTAAACTAACTTACATGTGTATAGATATCAGGTATTGTAATATAGAGATATTGTAAACTAACTTACATGTGTATAGACATCAGGTATTGTAAGATAAAGATATTGTAAACTAACTTACATGTGTATAGACATCAGGTATTGTAAGATAAAGATATTGTAAACTAACTTACATGTGTATAGATATCAGATATTGTAAGATAAAGATATTGTAAACTAACTTACATGTGTATAGACATCAGGTATTGTAAGATAAAGATATTGTAAACTAACTTACATGTGTATAGATATCAGGTATTGTAAGATAAAGATATTGTTAAACTAACTTACATGTGTATAGATATCAGGTATTGTAAGATAAAGATATTGTAAACTAACTTACATGTGTATAAACATCAGGTATTGTAAGATAAAGATATTGTAAACTAACTTACATGTGTATAGATATCAGATATTGTAAGATAAAGATATTGTAAACTAACTTACATGTGTATAGACATCAGGTATTGTAAGATAAAGATATTGTAAACTGACTTACATGTGTACAGATATCAGATATTGTAAGATAAAGATATTGTAAACTAACTTACATGTGTATAAACATCAGGTATTGTAAGATAAAGATATTGTAAACTAACTTACATGTGTATAGATATCAGGTATTGTAAGATAAAGATATTGTAAACTAACTTACATGTGTATAGACATCAGGTATTATAAGATATAGATATTGTAAACTAACTTACATGTGTATAGACATCAGGTATTGTAAGATAAAGATATTGTAAACTAACTTACATGTGTATAGATATCAGGTATTGTAAGATAAAGATATTGTAAACTAACTTACATGTGTATAGACATCAGGTATTGTAAGATAAAGATATTGTAAACTAACTTACATGTGTATAGATATCAGGTATTGTAAGATAAAGATATTGTAAACTAACTTACATGTGTACAGATATCAGGTATTGTAAGATAAAGATATTGTAAACTAACTTACATGTGTATAGACATCAGGTATTGTAAGATAAAGATATTGTAAACTAACTTACATGTGTATAGATATCAGGTATTGTAAGATAAAGATATTGTAAACTAACTTACATGTGTACAGATATCAGGTATTGTAAGATAAAGATATTGTAAACTAACTTACATGTGTATAGATATCAGGTATTGTAAGATAAAGATATTGTAAACTAACTTACATGTGTATAGATATCAGGTATTGTAAGATAAAGATATTGTAAACTAACTTACATGTGTATAGATATCAGGTATTGTAAGAT